CTCAAAAGCTAATGGACTTTTTTTTTCCCCCTAACTCTGCAAGAGAATGTGCTGATACAAAAAGAAATAGATCTTTTCTAATTCTTGGGCTACTTCTTTGTCCTCTCCATCTCTCGCTTCTGCTACCTTGTTGCTCAGATGTAATTTGTTTAGCTTGCCTTAAATAAAGGGAATGTAGTTACTCTGTGTTACAGCTATCAGGTTCCCAGACAAAAACTCAATAAATAAGGCACTGCCAGGGCTGTAGCTCAGGTCTGGTGTTTCTGCCTTCATCTGCAGTAGGTACCACTCACAGGCAGCTGAAGGACTGTAAAAGTTAAATTGTGGATTTAACTGAGACATTTTCTTTCTCCCTGAAAAGCAAACCCATTTCCCAGTTCCATGTGGATTCTCTGTTTAATTTCTGTCAGCTGGACCAGTGGTACCAGCCCTGTCCTGGGGGTCCCTGGCACCTGATCCTTGCAATGGGAGCAGAGTGATTTTCCACTGGAGAGCATCTCCTGGAGCTGGAGTTCATCTTCAGTGCCCATCCCTGGGGTGAGGTGGGAGGGCTGGAGGAAATGTTAAGAAATAAAGAGGTGGGGAGTGTTCCTGCACCATTGCAGAGGGGAACTGGGTGGATGGCTGCTGCAAAGTGCTTGGGAAGAGCAGAGACACCAGGTGGGATCTGCCGGATGAATTAATTCTTATTTCTCTAACCATCACATTCTCTTGCTTTAAACCCTCTTTCTTTGCATGCTTTGGGGGAAATTCCTCCTGCTTTTTTGGCTGGCAGGAGAAGCTCAAGCCCAGAGCAGGCAGGGAGCTCTGGGCTAAGCCCAGGTCCCAGCTCAGGAGCTGCAGGCTCCCAGGCTCCGCTTGTGCCTGACCTGGAGCGCTCCGCACAGGGACTGGCAAATCTTGGCTGCAGGGCAGATTTCTCGAGGAGCTGCAGTGATTTTCACAGTTTATTTGGTTGCCAAGATAATCCCGAGCTGTGTAAAACGTCTCTGTGTGGATTTCTCCCAGAATTGGACAGTGTGCCACCAGCCAGGAGCTGTGTGCTGACGCGGTCCCAGGCAGCTCCCAGGCTTCTCACACACATTTGGGATAAATGTCAGGAGTTCAGGCTGCTCTCCAAGCCCTGTCGTGGGGAAAAAGGACCAGAAAGAACAGGAAAAGCAGCACTTGGAGATGGTAATTTTTCAGACTGCTGCTGTAACAGGGCACTGATTTTAATTGAAGCCTTCAGAGCAGTAGAAGCAGGGGAAGGGATCTCGTGTTTCCCCCCCGTACCCCAGGAGGTGAAGGTAAACAGCCAGTGACAATCAGAGCCCCTTGTGCCTTGGCACTTAACAAGTTCATCGTGTTTCACAGAAACTGCATCCTAATTTTTATTCCAAACAAGATTTCAGCACTAATTTCTGTTTTGACAAATACAATCTGACATAAGAACAGTGGGAGTCAAGACCTTTCATTTTTGATCTGGGTTTACATTGCGCTGATCTAAATTCCTCCCCCTTCTGCTCTTGCTTTTCAGTTGTAAACTCCGTTATTAAAGTTAGCAAAGAGCTGTTTGAAACCCCCTGTTCTGTGGCATTTAAACAGTCCTGCTGCATGCAAGATTAAGTCTGATATCTTCCTAATGGCTCGTGCTGTTCATCTGAGGCCTTGGCACAAAGCGTCGCTGCACGGATTCTGAAATGGCTTTGTTGGAGACGAAGGATTTGGTTTCTGTTCACTGAGTCCCTTCACCAAGTGGCAGCACCAGGCCCCCTGGGGCTGAGGGCATTAGAGATGAGGTTCCCCAAGCCCTGTGCCTGCTGCAGGGCTCTGGCAGGGCTGGCTGGGGTCAGGGTGGGCTTCCATCCCTCCCTGGTGGTAGCAGTCGCAGGGGAACGTGGCTCTAAGCAGGGGGGACACAGCACAAGGAGTTTTCCAGTGGAAGGTTGGAATTGGATGATCTTTAAGGCCCCTTCCAACCCAAACCAGCCTGTGAAAGGATAATTTCATTTGAGCTGAACCCTGGCATCAGGGAGTGCTGGAAAGCTGCTGGAGATCCTGGTGAGGATGCTCCCACCTCCTGCTGCTTGGGAATCCTGGCACTGTGTTCACCTTCCCAAAGGCACACCCTGAACTCCTCCTTGGTCCTTGGACCCCAAAGCAAAGCTGGTGGGACAGGAGAGTCCAGCCTGTGCTTTGGGGGCCTTTGCAGGGTCCTTGTTCTCCATGCCCAGGTACAGAGAGTGTGGTGGATTCAGGAGAGCCTTTGGGAGGAGCTCTCCTTCCTGAGGAAAGGCTATTTCAGACCCCACTCACAGCTACTTGGCTGCTGAAGCATCACTTTGGTGCCTTTTTTTAAGGCTCTCAAGGGACAGACTTGCAGCTGGGAGCCCTTCAAGTCTGTCTGGGCAGTGATGCTCCACCTGAATGGTGGCTATTTTGGGAAGAGGGAAGGCAGTGCTCTCCATCCCTCCCATCACAGCTGCTCCTCTTCAGAAAATCAACTTCTGCTAAGCTCTGGGTGCTGGATGAGTGCTGGGCTTGGGTCACTTGTTGAGGTGTTGGGAGAGGCAGGTGCAGGTGAGTCTGGGCTAAAAAAAAAAAAAAAAAACCAAAAGAAATTAAGAAAAGAAGAAACAAAACGAGTCAAAACCCCTGAGAGCCACCAGTGCCAGCTCCTCTCCAGCAGCACCTTTCCCCAGATGGTGTCAGTGAAGTCAGTGTTGGCTGGTGCTCCCTGTGGCAGGGCTCAGCTCCTGGGCTGGGTGGCAGCAGGAACAGAGCAGCCTTGTTGCCCACACTCCTCTCTCCATTCTTCTGCTGCACAAAAGAGCAAATCCAGGGTGGCACAGGCCCTCCTTCAGCTCAGGGAGAGATGAACCTTTGTCTGCTGCCATCAGCTGCTGCATCACTCAGGGACAGCCCTGTCACCAGAGCTGCTGTGACACCCAGGAATGCCCCCAGACCCCTGAGGTGCCTGTTCTCTCCCTGCTGAAGGTGTCCCCAGCCCAGCCAGGCTGGAGCAGGATCAGGAGGGGTTTTCATTGCACACTTGGGTTTGTGGGGTCCTGCTCTAAAGCCACTGCTCCCAGCCCTGGGAGCTTCCAGGAGGGTTTCTGTCACGGGTTTCTTGTGAGGGTTTCTTGGTTCCTACTTTAAAACTCCCTGAGAGCAAGAACAGTCAGGCTGAAACCAGCAATTTGGAGATGAGGGTGTCAGCAAGAGTCAGAAGTGACAGAGAGGGGCTGGATTTGGTTTGGAGCTGCCTCCCCTTTGATTGCAGCCCTCCCACCCTAATGTGCAGGTGCGGGGAGGTGCTGATGGGGTAACAAAGCTGGCAGGAGGTGTCACCCCCGTGCCAGCTGGGTGTGTTTGTGCTGGGGTGTGCACACACCAAATTCTCACACTGCCCCTGCAGCTCCCTCCTGCTCTGAGGCAGCCAAGGCCGAGCAGGAAGGAGGGAAGATGCTCCCCTGGCACAGAAACCACGGGTGCCCTCTGTCCTGGCGAGGGACAGGCACAGCCCTGGCTTGCTGAGGAGGGGCAGGAGCTGCCTTTTCATCCCTCTCCTGGGGCTGGAGCTGGCACAGCCCCTCCTGGCGTGGGGAGGGCTCTGGGGCTGCAGGACAGGAGCCACTGAGCAGCTGCAGCTGCTGCAAAGCTGGTGCAGGAGAAAGGGAACACACAGCCCCAGGTTCTTCTGATGCAGAGAGTGAGGGAAGATTTAAAACAAATGTTTAATGTGACACAAAGACAGAGCAGCAGGGGAGCGAGGTTTGCCCTCTGCTTTGTCAAACACAGGCAGGAGAGCTGAGCCACTCCAAGCAGAGAGTTCCCAGTCCCCAGAGCCATTCCCCAAGTTAAAACCCTGACTTGCTAAAAACATAAAAGGCTCTGTCAATTCCAGCAATATTCCTCACTTCAATTAATCATCCCAGAGTTTGTTGTCTCTTTGTCTCCATTTAGCTTGAGCAAATCCAACTTTCCTCATTGTCTCTCTGCAGATTATGAAAAGCTTTTGTTGATTATATCATCAAATTAAGGCGAGCCCAGCAGTGTGATTTTCCTCTCAGAATATCACAGCAACAGCTGTGCCTCAGGTGCCACTGCCCTTCCTTCCCTGTTTAAAATGCTCTCCCTGCTTCCCTGTCACGTCTCTGCTTGCTAACAGGAAAGTGTATAAAAATCACATAATCATTAATATTGAAGAATCATTAGGGCTGATGAAAGCAGCCCTGCCTGCCACGGCGTTGTTTTCCATGCTCAGTGCTTTTGGCAAACATTCCAGGCCCACATCAGCCCAGCTGATTTTCAGAGCCCACCGGTTGATCCAGTGGCTGTTTGACTCCATCCAGCCATTGCTCCTGGAGATGGCTCCAGTGAGAAGGTCATTTCCCAGGCCTGCAGGAGTAAATGGATTCCTGGAGGCTGTTTCTGCCTCCCTCCTCTCCCACAGCCCCTGCTTTTGATGCAGACAGCATCCGAAAGGCAGCAATCCGTAGTGGAGCAGGAAAGTCCTGCTTGGGTTTTTATTAAAGCAATGATGTGCTGGCTGCCTGAAAAGTGTCAAAACTGCAATCTTGTAGCATCAACAGAATAAGGCAGGATACTTCCCTGGGGGAGAGGAACGCTGAGAGGAGGAAGGAGCCTGGAATGGGTGGATCTGAGCACTTCTCTGGGCTGCAGGGATGATGCTCATCAGTCACAGTCCCCGTGTCCCTTGGTGAGAGCACAAATATTGCTGAGCCACCCTGGCCAGGTAGGACTGGGAACAAGGCCAAGGCTTGCACTTGTGGCTGGGGGCTTCAGGTGAGGACCCTGAGCTGTTCCTTGGGGCAGTTCTTCCAGAACTCATCATTCTTTCAGGCCTTTGGAGATTGGGGTCCAGTTGTGGGTGCAGAGCTGAGCAGCCCTGGGGGAAGGTGCCACCCCCAGCACTGGGAGCTGCTGCCTGTGCCAGCCCCCCAGGCTGACTCAGAGCTGTGCTTTCATCCCTCTCTTGTGTTTTTGCCACACAGGAGGCCTTCGAGGAGCAACTGTGATCGATGCCTTAGACACCCTCTACATCATGGAGCTCGAGGAGGAATTCCAAGAAGCCAAGCAGTGGGTGGAGAAGAGCTTTGACTTGAACGTGGTGAGTCAGCTGCTGGGAATGCCTGCCTGTGCCACCTAAACTGCCAGTCCTGATCTCAATCTTCCCCTTCGGGGAGAGAAAGCACAGCTCTGTAGGGGAAGAAACCACTCAGCTGATTTTCTTTGCAAGGCCAAAGGGAGCAGTGCAGTGATTCACCCCAATTTTCTGCTGGTTCCAGCAGGGGCAGCAGCTCAGCCTCACCGTGTCTGGCTGACAAGAAGGTTCAGTGTTTAATGGTTCTTGTGTTCTGGGCTGGGCTATGGAAACAGACACTCACTCTTAGACAGCCCAGGGAAATGTTGCTCATCAAAGAACAAGTTCTGTTTGGTCTCAGGTAAATGTCTGCCTGTGATAAAACGAGATTTCCTCATTAAATTTCCTTATTAAATTAGATTAAGGTTGTAAACCCAGCTCCCCTTGTCTGGGTTCTCTGTTGGTGTCACTGCTGGGATCTGTGTGACACCTCAGCAGCAGAGAGGGAGCACAGAGGAGCCAGGGTTTGTCAGGAAGGGCATCACCTCTGAAAACAGCCAGGGCTGCTTCTCCCTGGGGCTGCTGGAGCTGTCCTGGACACGAGGGGCTGTGCTGGGGCTCTGGAGCAGCACAGCAGTGCTGGCAGCCAAAGGGTGCTGTCCCTCCTCTGTCCCAGCTCCTGCATCCCTCATCCCCAGCTGATGGCATCTCATCAGTGGCACACACAGAGAATGTGAAAACCAAAGTGCAGCTTCAACTTGTATTTGTTTAATGCCAGTCTAGTTGTTGTGAGGAATGGTTCTCCCACGGGAACAATGCCTGCAGCTGCCTTTGTAGAGAAGCATCATTTGGGAGGGCACCACTGGCATTCTTGGATTCATAAAAGGCAGCCCACATCTGATAAATTTGGTGAATGGTCTCAGTCCGTTACTGAATCGATAAACGAGGGACAAAATCAACTGGGAGATAATTTATCTGGATTTCATAAAAGCTTTTAATCTTGGCCTGCAGAATAGATTGATCTGTAAAGACAAGAGTGAATGCTATGGATTGATCCGTGGAGTCAGGGAGCACAGCAAGGGAGGCAGGGGGAAATTAATTCAATATTGCCTCTGCACAAGGAGCCCTCACAGTCCAGAAAGGCAGGACAGGGACTGCAGGACCCACAAGCTCTGCTTGAAACCGAGTGCTGTGATCTGTCTGGAGTTGTGTCGGGGGAAGTTTGGGCTGGATTTTGGCCAAAGGCTCTTCCCCAGAGGGTGCTGGGCACTGCCCAGGCTCCCCAGGGAATGGGCACAGAGCTGTCAGAGCTCCAGGACAGCACTCCAGGGATGCCCCGGGTGGGGTTGTTGGGGTGTCTGGGCAGACCAGGATGATGCTGGTGGGTCCCTTCCAGCTCAGGAGGTTCTGTGCCTGTGTGACCTGCCCTGCCTGACCCAGGTGCTGCCTCAGGTGATAAATGGGGCAGTTTGGGTTTCTCTTCCCTCCAGGCTCCCCCTGTCCCTGCAGAGCAAACGAAGAGCTGAGAGATGGGCACAAAGTGCTGGGAGATGGGGGCTGTGCTGCACTCAGGGCTGTCCTTGTGTCTTTGCAGAATGGAGAAGCTTCCCTGTTCGAGGTGAACATCCGCTACATCGGAGGGCTCCTGGCCACCTACTACCTGACTGGAGAGGAGGTTTGTCCCCACAGTGTCCCCCAGCCCCAGGAACCAGCTGAGAGCTCTGCCCTCAGCACCAGATAACCCCCCCTTAACAACAGGCTAAACCCATCCTTCTTGTGAATATGGAAATGCCACTAACGTTCCTTTAATTAAGCCTGGAATAATTACCTTGCACACACCGTGCATGGCTCATTTGCCAGAGATCTTTCCTCCTGTGGGCAATTCCAGCAAGACACGTTTGCAGTTGGACACATTGCTCCCCGGGGAAATGCCATTTGCAACAGGATCTTTGTGCTTGTTCCTCTCTCTTCCAAGTGGGGTGAGATTTCATCAGACATCATCCCAGATCCTGCCTCGGGCTCAGGAGGGCAGCTGAGAGGGGCAGGTGCTCCCCACTCAGCTGCACATCCCCGTGGAGCAGGAATTCCTGAGCTGGAGTGCCCTGGGATGCAGAACTTGGTGTCCCAGCCCCTGAGGTGGATGCTGGAGCCCTGGGTGAAGCAGGAGATCTCATTTCCACTGCCCTCCCTCCTCCCACAATGCCATAATCTGTTTGATGGTGTGCCTGCGCTGGAATTCTACATCTGTAGGGAGATGAGGAGATTATTCCTCTGCCCTGGGAGTCTTTGGTGAGCTGAAACTCTGGTTCAGGGGGAGTTCTGTGAGGACTGGCCCTAAATGAGAGCTCAGCTCTGCTGCTGCCCCAGCACAGAGGGTGGGATGGCTCCTGCACAGTGACACCGTTGATCCAGGAGCAGCTCTCTTACTTCAGCTGCATTTTAAATGTGTCCCAGGAATGACTTCCCTCTGGGATTCCCCTCCAGGGAAAACTCTCAAAGACTCAGTGCCCCGACTCAGAGCCTGCCTCAGTGACAACTTCAACAGGTTTCAGATCAACAGAGCAAAAAGAAACCACATTAAACCATAAAACTCCAGCAGTGACCTCTTGAAGTGCCATCAGCAGCTGGGGCAGTGCCTGTCACTTACCCAGTCAGTGTCACTGAAAGGCAAAAGCCAGTTCCTGTCTCTTGCTTTTCCCTTCTGAGGCAGCCCCCTGTTTCCTTGTGGGAGTATCAAAGGTCTGTGAGCCCACAGGAGAGCTCAGGTTTCCTCAGTGCTGTATTTTCAGAGCAATGAATTCCTGCTTTCTGAGAGCCACCACCACAGGGCTAGAGGTAAAAGGCTTGTGCTTTATCTCCTAAGTCACTTAGAGGCTTCTCTTGATCAGGACTAATCTCTGCAGCGAAGATTAGTGCTGGTATCAGTCTGTCCCAAAATAATTGTGCGTGCTTGCTTTGTGCTGCAAGGCACCATAAGCTGCAATTTGACTGGAGAGCCCAAAACTGAGGCATTACCAGTGGAAAAGGAGCAGCTTAGCCATGAAACCACCAATCCTTCTTGGCCAGGAGCTGCAAGGAGGAGATGGTTGGTTGGAAATCGTGGTTTTTACAACAGGAGATGAAAACAAAACCTGGGCAAGCCCACGTTGTGAATCTAGCCGTGCTTCAGCCCAGAAGGATTTCTTCTGATTTTAACTCCGTGATTGCAGCTCCTTGTGTTCTCTGCCACCCTGGGAATGGGAAGGGTTTGGAGAGCACTCTGGATCAGCTCAGATCACAGGGTGCTGTTGTGAGCTGCTCTGCTCCAGGCTGAGGCTTTGGCAGGGGACTGGGTGCTGGTTTAGTGCAGATTTGAGAGGAAATTTAGAGATTTTCAGTGAGACTTTTGGTTCAGATTTTTTGTGCAGGGGAGCCAGGGCACAGCACACATGGAGCAGGGGTTCTGCAGCACCTCCAGTGTTTTATGTGTGTGTGTTTGGAAAAGGTGATGGGGGGAATCCTCTGGGACTCGTTCCATCAAATATTTATCCTCCCTTTTAACAGGTGTTCAAGAGCAAAGCCCTGGAACTTGGAGAGAAACTTCTGCCAGCCTTCAACACCCCCACTGGAATCCCACGTGGAGTCATCAACCTGGGCAGGCAAGGCACACATCCTGAGCAGCATTCCCCTTAGTTCTGGGAGTGGGAAGGACCAGGAGCAGCAGCAGCTCCTCAGAGCTGGCCCCTCTAGAGCAGATTCCTCGAGGTCACTTGCTTTGCCAGCTCAGCCTTGGCACAGATTGCAGGTGACTCAGGTCAAACCCAGCTGTGTTTTATTAATTTGGGGCTGGCCACAGTTTCTTCCTCTGCCTCCTGACAGGGCTCCCTGCTGCAAGAGCATTTTCCTCACTCTCATCTTCTGTGAAATGTGATCTTCTAGTCTGCTCACAGCATGGATTTTTGCAGTGTGCCCAGCTAGATGCATGTGAATTCATCCAGGAAAAATGGATTAAAAAAAGTGGAAAAACTGAGGAAGGGAGTGGATGGGACTGGCTGCCAGTTTTGGTGCTGGAAAAGGGGAGAACACAGCACAGCCCTCAGCCAAGCCCTGTCCTTCCTCAGAGCCCAGAATTTAGGTTGGTGATGTTCTCACGGCCAGGGAGGCAGCTGAGTTCAGTAAATCCCTGCAAAAGGTCTGGCAGCAAACAGAGCAGAGCTGGGGCTGCCCTGCTGCTCCTGGCTCTCCTGGCAGACAATTCCCTGCCAGCCAGCCAGGGATTTTGGATTTGCTGGTTCTGATGCATCCAAACAAATCCACAGGTGAGAGCTGCAGGAAATGTGGGTTAACAAAGCCTTTCATCCTCACCTCTTGCAGAACCCCCAAAGTCATTTTCCAGCCCTTAGCCCAAATCTCCTCCTTGGCTCTGCAAGCAAAAGACTTCCAAATATTTGGCTCAAATATCACTGTCACCCCTCAGTTGTCTGATGTGCTCCCGATCCCAGGGAAAATTGGAGCCACCAGCAGCACTGTAATTGTCCTTTTTTACAGCACAGACATCCTGCTTCCTCTGTGGCTGATAAAGGCTCTGCATAGACTAACCTTTCACAGAAATGCCAAACCCTCCCCTGCCCTTTGTGAAGACAATTGAAGCAGCCTCTGTCTTCCCAGACATTCCCAAAATGTTTTGCTGGTGACCTTGAGTGAGAGCAGAGAAAATCGACAGAACACCCAGGCCACAGCCAGAGCCCCAGTGCTGCCTGGAGCTCTGGGGCTGCAGTGGCAGCTGCTTTAGGAGCAGGCATGGAGGGAGCTGCATCCACAGCCCGAGCTGCTGCAGGAGCACGAGGAGCAGCCAAAGGCTGAAAACCCCCAGGGAATGGGAATTACTCAGTGTGCAAGTGGAAGCAGAGGAGGGCGAGGTGAGGCTGTGAGACCACACTGACCCAAACATCAGGGCCAGAACAAAGCCCAGAAGAGTTTTGCAAGGAGGAATTCTCTCTCCAATTCTGCTTTTGCAAGGATGTGCTAATTCCAGAGAGACCTCAGCATCCCAAAAGGAGGAGGGTCCTGCAGCGTGTGTGGGCCTCTGTTGGTGGCAGCTTGGGGGGTGGGTTAAGAAGGATGTTCAGAAATTTGAAACCATAAAAACCCCCTTGGCATTGAGACAATTCTGCACATTCATTTTTGAGGGCCCAAGCACAGCCAGCCCCCCCAGCTCTGCCATACCCAGCTGCCTTTATCTCTTGCTGTCACCTTTTCCTCTGGGGTCCCCTCTCTGCTGATGAGCTTCCTGCGGCTGCCTGCTGTCCCCTGGCTGTCTGTCCCACCTCACAGTGCCTGCTGTCCCTGGCTCTCTCCCCCATCTCACAGCGCCTGCTGTCCCTGTCTCTGTCCCGTCTCACAGTGCCTGCTGTCCCTGGCTCTCTCCCCCATCTCACAGCGCCTGCTGTCCCTGTCTCTGTCCCGTCTCACAGTGCCTGCTGTCCCTGGCTCTCTCCCCCATCTCACAGCGCCTGCTGTCCCTGTCTCTGTCCCGTCTCACAGTGCCTGCTGTCCCTGGCTCTCTCCCCCATCTCACAGCGCCTGCTGTCCCTGTCTCTGTCCCGTCTCACAGTGCCTGCTGTCCCTGGCTCTCTCCCCCATCTCACAGCGCCTGCTGTCCCTGTCTCTGTCCCGTCTCACAGTGCCTGCTGTCCCTGTCTCTGTCCCGTCTCACAGTGCCTGCTGTCCCCTGTCTGTCTGTCCCATCTCACAATACCTGCTGTCCCTGTCTCTGTCCCACCTCACACTGCCTGCTTTCCATCCTGCTGCTCCAGCTGCCACGCCGCCCTGGAGTGTCTGCGTGCTGCAGCTGCTGCTCTGTGCTCTGCTCTGTGAGCTCTCCCTGGGCTGCAGCCCCTTCCTTCACACATCCCTAAACCCTCTGTACCTCCAGATTTTCCCTCAGCATCATCCCCTGACCTCTCTCACTGGTTTTGCTGTTTTGGATCCCCGTGGGGGAAGGCAGTAATTCGACATTTCAGACCAGCTTATCTGGGAGATAAGGAGGTTCTGGGTACGTTCCTTTCTCTTGGAGGCCAAGGTCCTTTGAACAGCAGCTTCCTCTGAGCTGCTGGAGGCAGAGCAGCTGTGAAGGCCAGTTTGTAAGGCTGACAAAAGCTTTTCCTGCAGGGGCTCACTGCAGGCTGCCCTCTCAGCCAGGGACACGCTGCAAAGGGCTCTGCTTCCTCCTGTGCTGCCTGCCCCAAGGCTCAGGCACAGCCCGTGCTGTGGTTTTGGGGAGGGCAGGGCTGGGATGGTCTCTGTGACCCCACAGAGCTGCTGTGACAACAAACACGGCGCCACTTGGCAGCTGCAGCCCTGCTGAGCTGAGCCGAGCCGAGCCAAGCTGAGCTGAGCCGAGCTGAGCTGAGCTGAGCCAAGCTGAGCCAAGCTGAGCCAACCTGAGCTGAGCTGAGCTGAGCCGAGCCGAGCCGAGCTGAGCTGAGCTGAGCTGAGCTGAGCTGAGCCGAGCTGAGCCGAGCCAAGCTGAGCCGAGCCGAGCCAAGCTGAGCTGAGCTGAGCTGAGCTGAGCCTGTCTAGGGCTCTCCTTGCAGGCAAACAGCCAGCCCGGGACCTGCCACGTTTTCCTCTCCATCACAACGAGGCAAACTTCTTTTTTTTTTTTCTTTTCGTGCTCAGAAGGATCATTAGTTTTAACCTCCTGTAAACAACAAACCCTTCTCTCTCCCAGCCAAGCTTCCCGGCGCCATCTAGTGTCACCCCCACCCTTCCCTGTCCCTGGAGCTGTCCCCTCCCCGGCTTCACTGCCAGGAGATGGAAAACTGGAGCCACCACACCTCTGAGGTGGATAACCCACAGGGGCTGCCGTGGTTATATCCAACCCTGCATCCCCCAGGGCATTGTCCTGCCTGGAGGGTCCCAGACACACCCAGAGCCCCGGGGTACCACAAGGATATTTATTTTATCCCACAATATCTGTGGGGAAGGGTGGCAGTGCTCCTCCAAAGCTGTTTGTCAGCTGAGCTCTTCAGGAGGGCTTCCTCTCCCACAAAGAAATGCAGTTTATGTTAGCCCAGTCCTAAAGAATCTCTGGAAGAGCACAGCTCAGTGCCACTGGAACTGCTGCTGAAAATCTGTGTCCTAAATGTGTGTGTGTGTCCTAAATCTGTGTGTGTGTGTGCTAAATCTGTGTGTGTCCCAAATCTGTGTGTACCCCAAATCTGTGTGTGTGTCCTAAATCTGTGTGTGTGTCCCAAATCTGTCTGTATCCTAAATGTGTGTATGTGTCTAAATCTGTGTGTGTGTCCCAAATCTGTCTGTATCCTAAATGTGTGTATGTGTCTAAATCTGTGTGTGTGTCCCAAATCTGTGTGTGTGTCCTAAATCTGTGTGTATCCTAAATGTGTGTATGTGTGTCCTAAATCTGTGTGTGTGTGTGTCCTAAATGTGTGTGTGTGTGTGTGTCCCAAATCTGTGTGTGTGTGTGTGTCTAAATCTGTGAGTGTGTTCCCTAAATCTGTGTGTGTGTGTGCCCTAAATCTGTGTGTGTGTGTGTCCCAAATCTGTGTGTGTGTCCCAAATCTGTGTGTGTGTCCCAAATCTGTGTGTGTGTCCTTTCCTTGCCCCAAATGACACCTGGCAGAGGCAGGGCTGCCCTGCCCAGGCCACCCCAGGCTCTGGCTGTGTTTCCTGGCACTGAGGGCTCTCTTTCCTCTCCCTGCAGTGGCATGAGCTGGAGCTGGGGCTGGGCATCTGCTGGAAGCAGCATCCTGGCAGAATTTGGGACCCTGCACCTGGAGTTCCTGCACCTCTCCCAGCTCTCTGGCAACCCAGTGTTTGCAGAAAAGGCAAGTGACCCCAGCCTGGGCTGCCATGGCTTGGCCTCTTTGTCCCCCTGGGGTGTTTTTCCCGGTGTGATTTTACCCAGAGGACGGCACAGCCAAGGTGCAGCCATCGGGGGATGCAGATCCCTCAGGAGCCTGCTCTGAGGGACACAGATTGTCCCAGGCAGAACCCAAACTGCCCCCGTGAGCCCAAGGGAAATGGGGCTGGCCCAGAGTGCCACAAACAGGCAGGATTGCCAAAAAAACTCAAAAATTCTGCTTTTCCAGGGTGTGTCCAGTGCAGCTCTGTCAGCTGTGAAACAAGGAGGGGATTTGAAGGAGAGACAGGGAAAAAAAGAGGAGGAAGAAGCTGGGAGAGCAAAGTGGAGCTGGGATGGAGTGGATGGAAAGCAGGGAGGGTGGGATGAGCAATGAGAGTCAGAGGAGGGAAGAGCAGAGGGTGAAGGGAAACAGGAAAGCCAGGAAACTCTGTGGGAAGATGAAGAGAGGCTGGTGATGTGAAATAGAGACAAGGCTGAGGTTCCTGAGGACAGGGATGATGACAAATTGCTCCCAGGGAGGGGGAGCTGAGGAGAGGCCAGGAAAGGGAGCAGTGCTGTGGAGAGAAAATGTGTGAGCAAATGAAGGGAGGGAGAGATGAGGATGCACTGCTAAAAACCAGAATTGCAGCCTCATTCTGGGTTCAAACCATGGCATTTTGAGCCAGGGTCAAACCTCTGTCCCCAGCCTCAGAGATTTTTCCTCTTCTCCTCCTAAGCCCGGGAGGGAAAAGGGCAAAACCTTTCTGAGAGACTCTCCTGGGCTGATGTGTGCACAGCAAATGGATCACAGCCACCCTGAGAGGGAAAACGTGGGATGCTGTGGGCTCTGACAGCCCAGCCTGAGGGAAATTCCTGCAGGGGAGCAGATCAACTCATGAGCCCCCAGCTTGGGACTGGGGTGATTTTAGCAGCAATTAAAGCCCATCTGTGTCTTTTATTCAAACCTGTCATTAATATGCCAAGCTCCTAAACTCCAGTAAATATTATAGAGCCTGACAACTTCCTTGGAAGCACTGGCTTAAGGCTGTAGCCAGCTTTTGGCATGCAAATTGTCTGATTTTGTAAAAGGTTTAGGGCAAATTAGCTGCTCTGTAGGTTATAATAGAATATTTATGCTGCATGGAATTTAACTGGGTCCCTTAAGGGAAAGGCCTGTTGGATTTAATGGGGGTGAAACCAAGGGAGGCTTTAGAGAGTTAAGTGCTGGTTGTTCTGGGGTATTAAAGGAACTGTCTGTTGTTGAAATTAAAGGCCCCAATTCATCACATTAAGTGACCACATGGTGAATTTAAGTGCTGTGTGAGTCACTCATCCCTGCCACTCCTTTCCCTTTGGATCACGTTAAAAATCACCCCTGGCATCGCTCACATCTCCCATTTCCACCCAGATCCCCAAGCACAGAATCAGATTTGGGTTTGGAAGGGACCTCAGGGCCCCTCCAGTGCCAGCCCTGCCATGGCAGGGACACCTTCCACTGTCCCAGGCTGCTCCCAGCCCTGTCCAGCCTGGCCTGGGCACTGCCAGGGATCCAGGGGCAGCCACAGCTGCTCTGGGCACCCTGTGCCAGGGCCTGCCCACCCTCCCAGGGAGGAATTCCTTCCCAACATCCCATCTAACCCTGGCCTCCTTTACCTTGAGGCCATTCCCCCTTGTCCTGTCACTCCACACCCTTGGGAAAAGTCTCTCTCCAGTTCCCTGTAGCCCCTTCAGGTACTGGAAGCACAAAGTGTCCCAGGATCCCTTCTGGACCATGGCAGTGAGTGCAGTGGGGTTTGCAGGGTTCCCAGGAGCATTTCTGAAATAAGGATTGGGCTGAGCCCCGCAGCATCTCCCTGCTGGGCTGGAGCAGGGCAGGGGCTGGGGAGGCAGGGAGGGGCAGCAGAGCATAACCCAGGCTGTCTGTGCTCTCTCACAGGTGATGAACATCCGCAGGGTGCTCAGCAGAGTGGAGAAGCCACAGGGCCTGTACCCCAACTTCCTGAGCCCGGTGACGGGGAGCTGGGTGCAGCGTAGGTATCCCTGCCTCCCTCCTGCCTGCAGGAGAAGCCTTCCCTCTTCCCCAGGGAGCAGCATCTGGCACAGCAGCCAGCCAGGCAGGCTGTGCTGCAGGAGATAAGCCAGGGGGCAGGGCAGGAATTGTGCCCTTATCCACAGCTGAGTGTCCCAGCTGAGTTTCCAGCTCCAGAGACAGAACTGGGGCCCTGCTGAGTGTCCCAGCTGAGTGTCCCAGCTCCAGAGAGAGAACTGGGGCGCTACTGAGGGTCCCAGCTCCAAAGAGAGAACTGGAGCCTTGCTGAGTGTCTCAGCTGAGTGTCCCAGCTGCAAAGAGAGAACTGGAGCCTTGCTGAGTGTCCCAGGTGAGTTTCCAGCTCCAGAGAGAGCATTGGAGCCTTCCCTGCACAGGAGCTCATCCCACAGGTGTTGGGGCCAGCCCAGCCTGGGATCCTGCAGTCAGCACAGGCAGCTGCATGGGAAGCACAGTGAGGTTCCAGAGTGGAGGAACCTCCTGCAGAGGCAGAGGGCTTGGAGGAGCTCTGGGTCCCCCCTGGATCCAGGGAGGAATTCTCCTGTGCATTCCTGTTCCTGTTACCATGGCAGCTCTGCAGAGCCACTTGGGAAGGAGGGATGAGATAAGAATGTTTGCTTCTCTCCTGTTGGGAAGCCAGCACTGGAGCAATAATCAGGGAAGGTCTTGGAGAGGGCAGGGGAATTGTGGAGGCACCCAGGGGAAGGTGACACACAGGCTGTGCCCCTCCTCAGAAGTTTGCCCTGTGGTGGGAGCAGGAGGAGCCACTTCTGCAGCTGTGCCCTGAGCTGTGACCTCCACTCTCTGCTCCACTATTGATCTGCTTGTTTTGGCTGCTGGATTTGATGTTGTCAAAGAAAAATCTCTTTCAGAGACTGGTTTGAGCCTGTCAGTGGGTGACATGTATTATCTAGGCAGGTTACTCTGAGTCTTGCATCTCCTGGTGTCCCCCTGCTTTGTTGCACTTTTTGCTGGGCTGGATCCAGACCTCTCCCAGTGCTGCTTTTGTGGCTCTGGTGGCAACAGGCAGGGACAGACCCTGGCTGTGAGCAATCCCTGACCTTTAACTGGCAGGGCTGGTCCCTGCACAGTGTCTGGGATGGCCACATTAAACCAGAGCTGCCCTTTGGTGCTGGAAGCAAGCCCTCATCTCTTCTGCCACAAATTTAATTCTGTTTTCTGTCTCAGATTTCTCTGCATTGCCTTGAACTTGCTGATGTAGAGAGGGGCCTGGTGGTGCTTTCCAGAGCACATTAAAAGCATCCTCTGCTTGCTCATGTGGGACAGGCAGCTGCCTGCCACAGGCCTGGAGATTTCCTGACTCCAGCCACACTTCCACAGGCTGTTTGTGGCACTTGCTCAGGATGTGACCTTGGGATCTGAGCCCATATTCCAGGGAGGGAGAAGAGTGATCAGCCCCTTCTGCATCCCCAGTGCTGCTGGGGAGAAACAGATGAGGGAGGCATCTGCAGCCTGCTCCCCGGAGAGGCCAGGCTCTCATTTTCTCTCCTGCCATTAAAGCTCTTTGCAGGAAGCTGTTTTCCTTGAAATTGCTGTGATTTCCTTAAAAGGTGTATCTTTGACCTGGCTGAAGGAGCAGATGCTGCCCGTGGAGAGGCTGTGCTGGCCCTGTGGGAGGGCAGCCCAGCCCTGCTGAAGGCAGGGATTTATTGATGCAGGTGCCTGGGAGGCAAACGCTGCCAGGGCTGCTGCCATATGGGAAGCAATTCCATAGCAGGGCTGCAGCTTTGGTGAGTTTATGAATGACACACTCAGGATCACAGAGCTGCTCTTTAAAGGCAGCCCGTGTTTGCAAATCCTCTGCCCTCTCTGCTTGCAGGGAAGCCGGGTGTTTAATCTCATTGTTTTGCTAGGGATTATTCCCTGGATCATTGGACACAGTGTGTCAGGGATGTTTGCTCTTCAGGTCAGGAAAATGATGCGTGGCTGTTGGTTTGTGCTGCTGGGAGGATTCGGCATTTGGAATGAGCCTCGGGACTTTATCTGTGTACAAGGAGAGGGGAAACAAAAATCTGAGCAGCTCTAACACCTGCTGCACGAGCTTGGCTGGGAAATGAGGGTGGGGCAGAGCCAGGACCCTGTTAATTAACAGGGATGGCTCAGGCCATTTGTCTTGCTCTCCTAAAAACGGGAGTGCTTGAGTGCTTTAAAGAGTGAGAAGGCTGCTGTTCCCCCTGTGGCAGAGTCTGGAGCTGTAAATGCATCCAGCAGCTCCCCCCAGGCCCATTTCACACTGCAATCCCTCAGCAGCTCCTGGAAGGTCAGAGCAGGGGGTGCTCTGAGCAGACAGCCCCAGAAATTTCATTGCTGCAGAGGAAAACGTGCAGTGCACATCCCTGTACCTGACTTTATCATTTTAATGTGCCAGCAACCCCCCGCCTTGCCCAGGGCTCAGAGTCCCTCCGTGAGGCAGGAATACAAATGGCAAAACCCAGGAGAGTGTCCACAGCCCCTTGCTGGCAGCTCTGTGGGATCCAAACACCTCTCCTTCCCTTCCTGAGGCAGGGAGACAGCTCCCAGGGGCTCCATCCAGATGGAAATCTATCAATACCCACCACTGCTTTTGGTTTATGAGGGTGGATTTATGATGATGGCTCCATAAACAGGAAGCATCTTCACGTTGCAGTATAAATAACTTGTAAAATAAGGCCTCTGAATGGTTCTGCTAAGGGATACTAATGCTCTGGAAAATGACAGAACATTTTTCTCCTGATTGCACTTTCCACCTTTCTTCCTTTCTGAAAAGCAATGCTGCAAGCTCTCCCCAGGAAGCTGGGAAGAGGAAGGAGAGAACAAGGGCATTAAATAGGACGTGATTGTTTCCCCTTTGTGAGGCAGCTGCTCACTGTCTGTCGTGAACCTGAAGCTCTTTCCTGGCTTTCCCACCACAGACCACGTCTCCATCGGGGGCCTCGGGGACAGCTTTTATGAATATCTCATCAAATCCTGGCTGATGTCAGACAAGAAGGACTCTGAAGCTAAAAAGATGTACGACGATGCCTTGGAGGTGAGGAGCCAGGTGCTGCTCTGTGGATTTTTGGAGGGGACGTGGTTCTTCAGAAGGGTTCAGACCTTCAGAATGAGTCTTTGGGTTTCCTGGGTACTCACTCCTGTCACTAACTAACACTGAGTAAGTTTTACTCACTGTCCACTCCCTTAAAATCCTGATTTTCATCCCTTTAGGCAATAGAAAAGCATTTGGTGAAGAAATCTGCAGGAGGCTTGACCTACATCGCGGAGTGGAGGGGTGGCATCCTGGATCACAAGATGGGCCACTTGGCCTGCTTCTCTGGGGGCATGATTGCCCTGGGGGCCGAGCACAGCACGGGGGAGAGGAGGCAGAGGCACATGGAGCTGGCAGCAGAGATCACCAGCACCTGCCACGAGTCCTACACACGCTCAGGTACCCGAGCCCACCGCCCCAGGAGGGTGGGCACTGCCTGGCACGGGGGGTTCTGTGCCTCAGCAGCACTGCAGCCCTGCTGTGGCTTCCCCTGGGCTTTCCTGGCATGTGTGGAAGGGACAGAAATGTGCTTTGTGCAGCAGAGGCAGCCGGGAGCTCCTGGGGCAGAGCTGGGAATGGAGCTGGGGCTGAATCCCAGCAGGGCTCCAGGCTGCCCTTGCTCATCCCTGTGCAGGCAGGAGGGGAGGGTTAGCAGGGGTTAACTGCAGGGTGGCTCTCTCTGGAGCACAGCAGCTGGGAAGCCCTGCAGGGCAGTGCTGCAGACCTGCAGCTGCTGGTGGAGCCAGGAGAATGGAGTTGCTGAGCCTCTCCAGCTGTGTGAGTCCTCGTTTCACAAGCTCAGGACAATTTCTTTGACCACCCAGAGCTGTGGAGAGCAGCGAGTGGAGATGAGTGAGGGACTGGCTTGGTTCTCTTCCTGCAGGAGCTGCTTTGGACACCCCTCCTTTCTTTGTAGGCATCCCTGCAGCTCCTGTGAGGCTGCAGGCAGCCAGGGCAGCTCTCCAGGACCTTGTCAGGCACAGGTCTGTCCACAACTGCATCCAAGGATTGTCCCACACCTTCCCCACACCAGCCAGCCCAGTTTGGTGCCCAGCATGTTTGCCCAACAAACTCCAAGCTAACCTGAAATGATGTTTGCAAATAACTCTTTTTCCCCAATGCAGCACTTACAGAACTAAACCAAGGCATCTGAACTAACAGTCCTGTGCCTGTGAGTGCCTGCAGCCAGTTTGCACCCTCAGAGAGGACAGCAGCAGGCTGCCCAGTGCTGCAGGGAGTGGCTGTGCACGGCCCCAGCTCCTGCCAACACTGCCAGGGCCCCACAGCCCCAGCAGGGCCCAGGGAAGGTCTGCAGGGTAATTAGAGGCAGATAATGACTCCCTGTGAAGCACTGGGGCAGACACAGCCAGAGGAATGTGGCACGATCACAGAATTATGGAGTGGTTTGGGCTGGAAGGGACCTTCAATTCCATCCCATCCCACCCCTGCCATGGCAGGGACACTCCCACTGTCCCAGGTGCTCCCAGCCCTGTCAGCCTTGGGCACTGCCAGGGATCCAGGGGCAGCCACAGCTGCTCTGGGCACCCTCATGAACAAATTTTTTTCCTGCAGGGAGAGGGTTGGTGTTGAAAGCAGGGATCTGAGTGCTGGATAGTGCTTGCAAGAGGCTGGCATTCCTGAGCACAGACCAACACACTCCTGGTGCTCTGTTTATCAAACCAGTGCAGTTGCTTTTGTCACCATCCCGATCCCTTCTCTCCAAAGGCACCGCTGAAGAAAAGGCTCAGCAAAGCCTTAGCCAAACCCTGGCATCCTGAGCAGCCTGAAGGCACCTGCTGGTGCCCTGCTGGTGCTGCCCTGGCAGTGACAGTGCTGTGTGCTTGTCCCCAGACACCAAGCTGGGTCCCGAGGCGTTCCGCTTCGACGCGGGGAGCGAGGCCACGGCCACGCGGCTCAGCGAGCGCTACTACATCCTGAGGCCCGAGGTGGTGGAGAGCTACATGTACCTCTGGAGGCTCACCCACCACCCCAAGTACAGGCACTGGGGCTGGGAGGTGGTCCAGGTAAGGCTGCAGAGGGCACAGAGCTCCGTGGGGTCCTGCATTCCTATGAAAATCTTCGCTTCGGTCGGTGGAAGGAGCGGAAATTATTGAAATTGTGTTAAACGCTGAGATACATCAGGAATGCTCAGGGCTGGGTTGGGTGGGGCTCTGGGAAGCTTGGTCTAGAGGGAGGTGACCCTGTCCATGGCAGGGGGGTGAAACTGGGTGATTTTTAAGGTTCCTTTCAACCCAGATTGTTCTCAAACCCACCAGCAATGGGGCAGGATCTGAAAGCCACGAGCAATGGGGCAGGAGTTCACAAAGTGCCTCAGGTCAGATAATCTCCACTGTGGATGTTTTCTTCTCCCTTGGGGGCTGCACTGCCATCAGTCCATCAGCCAGCTCGGGTGGCTGCTGTTTCCTTTGCTGTTCATTAGAGCCAGGCTGGTTCCCAGAGTGTGGAGCAACCCCCGAGTGAGGGACAGGAAACCTGGGGTTGGATTTGTAAACTGGTTTGGAATGCAGCTGCTGGTGCTGGAGGGGTCACCCCACGCTGCTGAGGGTGGCTGAGGGTTCTGTTCCCTCCCCCAGGCCCTGGAGAAGCACTGCAGGGTGGAAGCTGGCTTCTCTGGCATCCGAGACGTGTACACCACCACGCCCACCCACGACAACATGCAGCAGAGCTTCTTCCTCGCAGAGACTCTGAAGTAAGTCTGGGCTCACAGGGCCTTCCAGAGCAGCACAGCTCCTGCAGCAGCTGCTTAAGGAGCCTCAGATGATGAGGAGAAGTCTTCTCTTCCCAGGGGAGGTGTTCCCCCCAGGGCAGGGGGCTGGGACCAGAGGAGCTTCCAGGATCTTTCCATTCTGGGGGGAAACTGGGCAAGGCTGGAAATCTTTGGGAGTTTCCTGCTGCAGAACCTCTGCTGCCCGTGGCTCCCTGGAGGCTCCTGCTCAGGGGCTGGGTCTGAAGGGCTCTGCTGCGATCCAGAGTGTGGGAAGGGTGGGGATTTTCCAGGGAGGTGGGGATGTGTCAGATGCTGCTGCCTGTGCCTGCCTGGAGCCCTGCTGAGCTCCTCCAAGCCTGTCCCTGTCCTGTGGCTGCAGGTACCTCTATCTTCTGTTCTGTGAAGATGACGTGCTGTCCCTGGAGGATTGGGTGTTCAACACCGAGGCTCACCCCCTGCCCATCAACCACACGGACTTGAAAGCAGCAGGGCAGCCCTGAGGCCCTGCCCAGCTCCTGCTCCCCCAGCCTGGGCAGACTCTGCTTTTCCTTTCCATTGAAGGAATTCCTGTTGTTCCTGAAATGGTGTTTTGGGGCACTAGTCCAATTCCGGACAGTATTTTCTTGGGAAGATGAACCATGACTAAGCACCTTCTTTTCCTCTGTGAGGAGCTCTATTAGGCTGATGATGAGATGTTTATTCTGGGCCATACTGTACACAGTTCATAGACATTCCTTTATACAGAGAATTTATATGAAATCCACTGATTTTGCTTTCTAGTGGCCAAAGGACTGGAAGTTTGCCATAAAATAGAATTTACACACACACGAACACACACACATCCTCCTTTCCTTTCTCTGGTTCATTTCTGCCTTTTATCTGCTCTTGGATTTATCACCTTTCCAGTGAACAGTTCTCAGTATTCTGAGCTTTCTGCTGCTGGGCTCTGGGGCTCTTCAGGAGAACGAGGAAGGGGAGCTGTCCTTGCTGTGGGAGAGCAGGAATTCCTGGGGATGGCTGAGGAGCCAGCTGAGAGCTCAGGAGCGAAGGGAGGACACAAAAGGTGATGTTCTAGTGGGAAAAGAAGAGGATCAAACCCTCCACAGACAGGAGCAGCCTCAGGTTGGAATTTGCAGATTTCAGGGACTTGAACCACCCTGATCCCTGCTGGAGGGTAACTCAGGAGCAATCCAGGAGGCTCCTGGAGCGGGTTGGTGATGAATTCCCTCTCCAAGGGACACAGGAGCCAGCAGAGGGGCTCTGCTGAGCCCAGGATGAGATCCAAGATGAGATCCAAGGCTGCCCAGGTTGATGGTGAGTTGAGGATCCTGAGGGCAGCAGGGAGGGGGAAGCTCCAGCCTGGGCTGCAGCAGAGCAGACCTGGAGGTCTCCAGAGGGACAGGGACACAGCCCTGGGGCCCAGGTGGCCCTGCCTGAGCAGGGACTGGGACAGGGCCACCCCGAGGTCCCCTCCAGCCTCCGCCATTCTGTGACTCAACTGTAACTAAACCAAAACTTGGCTGCAAAATCCTTGCTCCTGATGTATTTTTATATACTTTTTTTCTGTGCTCTTAAAACACATTTACCACCCATCACATCTCATTTAACTTTCCTTTATCTTTTCTTTTTTTTTTGGTGTTTTTCTACTTTTATTTGGAACTAAATGTTATGAGTCACTTGTAATAATTTTATTGCTGTAATAGTCAGATCTGTGAAACAGAATAAAAGTCTTGTAAAATAAAAAGCCTGTTGGGGTTGATCCTGTAAAAGACCAGTTACTCCATGCTTGGAATGAGACAATACTGGATTTAAAGAGTGGATTCAAAGAGTTTTGTGCAGCAGAAGTTGATTTCTAGGGGAATCTAGGCAGTGTTTGACAGCAATTCCCAGCTCTCTTAAACTGCTGGATCTGGGATCAGCATTCCCTGTGATCACTGCAAAGCTCTGTGGCCCTGGAGGATGGAACATTTTTGTTCATCCTTGTGACAGCCTCGTGACAATTGCTTCATTCAGCAACTTGGGGGAAAATAAAGTTGCTTTGAGCAAGTTGTGAAAACACAAAATGTTGTTTCTAAATTCCTGCCTTTGTAATTCCCCGAGAGAAATAAGATTGTCAGATGGGGACTTAGCATTATCCCAGGGATAAAGCTGCTGCTGCTAAGCCTGGCCTAGAGGATGGGTATTGGTAAATAAACATCTTGGGAGTGAGCTGTGTTATCCAGGAGATTTGGGGATCGGGGAGCTCTTGTAGCTCAAAGGATTTTGATAATGGATTAAGGGAATTTCTTAAATAAGAATGACCTGCTCTTGGAGTAACATGGAACACTTTGCCTGGCAGAATTTAAACCCCCAAAATAAACAGTGTGGTTCTGGCTTCCTTTAGGAAAATGGTTGGTTCCCATTTCACACAGGTGAGGGGGAGCATCCCACACCCTTCCAGAGGAAGTTTCCTGCAGCTCGGGGGCCTCACCACAAACCAGGAGGTTCTGGCCAAGGGGAGATCTGGGATAGTTCTTCCTGCTGGGTGGAAATCTTCCCTGTTATTGTTTTTTTAGGATTCCCTTTGATCCAGGTGTGCCTGGGTGGGCCCCACAGCAGGTGTGTGGATATTTAACATTCTTCCTGAGTCTGTAATCCCAGGACCCAGCAGTGGAGAGCCAGGCTGGGTTTGTTCTCTTCCAAGGAGCAGCAGCCACCCTGAATTATTTCACCTTCAGTCTTTCCCATCAAATAATCCCCCCGTTCCTCATCTTTTTGTGGTGACTGGAACGTAAAATGAGCCCTTGTGCCTCTCCTCATCCAAAGAGAACCACCTCAGCTCTGCCACCACCCTGCCAGGCCCCTCCTGCTCATTCCCCAGACAAACCAGGACCTTTATCCCGTTCCAAACCCATCCCTCCTGTTACACTCTGGGTTATTCCAGGGAAGCAGCAGCAGGTTTTACAGCACATCTATAAAACACGGGAGCTCATCCCCTGCTCCCAGACCTGTCCCTGCTCCCAGAGTCATTTCCATGCTCTGCTAAATCCCATAGCCACGGCTTCTTTACGGAGCAGAGTTCCAGGGAAGTTTTCTGCCGTGCTGCAGAAAGATCTTTCTTCTTCCTCAGTGCAGCAACCCTGGCGTGAATCACAAATATCCCCCTTGTTCCACCGCTGGGCTCCTCTGCCTGGTCCATCCTCATCCTCCCTCCTCCTCCCTTAACTGCTCGGTCATGCTCTCGCTCATCTCCATCTCGAGAATTCTTTAAACCTAAAACAAAAACGATTAGGCAGGCTTAGGATACAGCAGAGCTTCAAAGGATTAAACGCTGACGCTTCCCTGGGAGAGATCAAACACTCGGTGTTGGCCCCGCAGCAGAAATCCTCCTGGCTGTGGGGGGATTGGAGCGGGACTGGGAGCACGGAGGAGCTGGATGAGGAGCGGGGAGGGCTTAAAATAATAAATTTTCGTGTCTAAATAATAAATTGGTGTGTCTTGGCCCAGCCACCGCTGAGGGACAATGTGACAGCAATGGGCGGCCGTGGAGGGACACTGAAAACATGGGAGGTTGAAAAGCTTGGGGTGGAAATGACCCAAAATGACCCAAAATGTGGCATGGTGGTAAAAATGACCCAAAATGTGGGGTGATGCTGGAGAAAGGAGGCTGAGCACCATCACCCCAGGGCTGCCAAGTCATTCCCATCCCTAGGGCTCAAACCTCAGCGGAATCACTGCAAAAAATACCTGTTTTGTTAAAAATACCCATTTTGGTCAGCTACAACCACACCAGTGCAGGATACGGCTTTGGGAAGTGCAGAACAAGTTCAGGGTTCTGTTCTTTCTGGGAAAAGCTGAATTAAGGACAAAATGGGAATGTGGGGATGGACACACATCCCTCTCTCGCATGGATAATAAAGAAAAAGCCCTTGGAGACAGAGGAGGAGGGGGTTCATCCCCCCAAGAGCCCTCACAGCAGAGACATTTCAGCCTAAAAAGCGCTTTTTTCCTGAACGAGTGCCGCTCTTTTAACATTAAAACGTGTTTTTATCCTGACGAGTGCCGCTCATTTAACACTAAAAAGAGCTTTTCCCTAACGGGGCGGCGGCGATTTAACACTAAAACACATTTTTTTCCTTAACGGGCGCCCCTCATTTAACACTAAAACGACGTTTTCCCAGACGGACCGACGGTCATTTAACACTAAAACACGTTTTTCCCTGACCGGCTTCCGCTGATTGAACACTACAAAAACCCTTCCCCTGACGGAGCGGCGCCGATTTAACACCAAAAAGGGGTTTTTATTCCCGCGGGGCCCGCGGCCCCTCCTCGCCCGCCTGACGCCTCCCCCGGCCGGGCGGCCATGGCGGCTCCGCGGCGCGGGCCCGGCGCGATGGCGGGGCCGGGGCCCGGGGCGGCCCCTCCGCGCCTGGCGCTGGCCCTGGCCCTGCTCGCCGCGCTGGTGGCCGTCAAGTACTACCGGGACGCGGAGGCGGCGCGGCAGCAGGTACCGAGCACCGGGCAGCGGGCAGCGGGCAGGGGCGGGGACGGGCCCGCGGGGCCGGGCGGAGCGAGGGGAATGGCGGGCGCGGCCGGCCCGGGCAGCGTGAGGGGAGATGGCGGCGCCGGGCGGGCAGCGGGGCTGAGGGGGCTGTAGAGGGGCTGAGGGGACACCAGAACCGGTGGGCAGCGGGGCTGAGGGGGCTGTAGAGGGGCTGAGGGGACACCAGAACCCGTGGGCACCAGGAACCGGTGGGCAGCGGGGCTGTGGGGGCTGTAGCGGGGCTGAGGGGGCAACAGAACCGGTGGGCACCGGAGATGAAGGGGGCCAAAGGCACGTTGAGGGAGCCCCAGGAACCGGTGGGCACCGGGGCTGAGGGAGACGTAGAGGGGCTGAAGGGACACCAGAACCGGTGGGCACCGGGAACCGGTGGGCGCCGGAGATGGAGGGGCCATAGCCAGGCTGAGGGAGCCCCAGGAACCGGTGGGCACCAGGGATGAGGGAGCCGTAGCCAGGCTGAGGGGGCACCAGGTATCGGTGAGGGCTGAGGTGGCCATGGCCAGGCTAAAGTGACCACCAGGCATCGATGGGGGCTGAGGTGGCCACAGCCAGGCTAAAGTGACCACCAGGCATCGATGGGGGCTGAGGTGGCCACAGCCAGGCTAAAGTGACCACCAGGCATCGATGGGGGCTGAGGTGGCCACGGCAAGCTGGAGTGACCACCCGGAATCCATTGCCGGGGTGGTTGGGGTGGCCATCACCGGACTAAGAGGAGTTTAGGCATTGTGGATAATGGGGTTGAAGGCTGAAGTGACCACCAGGCTTGGGGTGGCCTCTGGGGTTGAGGTGACCACCAGGCATCCGTGGCCATGGGGGTTAAGGTGTTGGGGCAACTGCCAGGCATTGGTGGCTGCTGGGGTGGAGGTGGCTGTGGCCAGGCTGAGGTGGCCACCAGGCATCAGGGGGGTTTAAGGTGGACACTGGGCTGAGCTGTGGTGCCACACTCCAGTGAACGTGGGCTTGAGGTGGCCACTGCCAGGCTACGGCTCTGCAGAGCTGGGGTGGCCACCAGTGACCAGCTGCCCCTGCCTCCAGCCCCATTCAGTGAGGGAAAAATTACTGTTCCCCGCATTCCAGCTGTACAAATTCCAACCCAATCCCTCGGGCTCTGTGCCTGTGAAGTGCAAAATGAGGAGAGGCCCTGAAAGATCCATCAGCAGAGGAGCTGTGCTGTGCTGTGCTGTGCTGGGGAGAGCAGAGGCAGTGGAGCATCCCTTCAGAGCTCAGCACACATCCAGGACAGCCTGCCCTGCCCAGGGGAGGCTGCTGCTCCCTGCCCAGGGCCCTGAGCTGGCTCCCAGCCCAGCAGTGATCCCAGTCCATGACCTGTGTGCCAGCACAGGTGAGATCTGGAGCTGGGAGAGGTCCTGGAGCCTGGCACGAGCCTTGTGTGACCCTGGGAGATGTGTCAGCACCTGCAGCCAGGTGCTCAGCAGAGCTGTGACCTGTTTCCAGAGCCCAGGATGCTCATCCCCATCCATTCAGGGAATAAAAGCAGGTTAACTGTGGACAGTCCACAGTGCATTGTCCCTGTGCACAAAAAACCATCTCCCTTCATTTTTTCATGTCCTTGGCCATGTCCTCCTCCAGATCTTTGTTTTGAGTTCCAGTTTATTTCAGTCTCAGCCCTGGAAGTGCCCTGGAAGGCTCTTAAGTGCTTTTGTAGCTGCGATTGATGGGAGCAAAGCCTTCCAGGCTGCATTAGTGCTGCTTCAGGCTGGCAGGCAACAGATGGAAAATAAACTGGTTCAGGAGCTCTGGGGATGGTGGTGGTGGTGCTGCAGGCAGCGGAGAGCAGCAGAATGCAGAGTGTTTGTGCTCCCAGCTCCAGGCTGCTCCGGGGGTGGCAGGGCAAGCTGCTGGATCCTGGGGCGTGTGCCAAGGGCTGGCTGGCACTGAGGGCTTTGTCTCGCCCGCTCTGTGTCTCTCACACCAACCTGGAGCTCTTGCTCTGCCTCCAAGTTGTCCCTTTCCCTTCAGACTGCAGAGTGGAAATGTGTGGAAGCATCCAGAGCCCTTCTGGGGCTGCTCCGAGGGAGACACCCCCCTGTGGGGGCTTGGCAGAGGGAGAAACTGAGGCACAGAGAAGCTGGGATCCCCTGGAAGTTCCTGGAGAAGACTGTGGGTTCTGTGACTCCCTGATGGATGGCTGAGGGAGCAGGGAGCCAAAATACTCCATGCAGTTCCAAGGCTGGAGGGGCACTGACCAGAGCAGGGCAGTGATGCTGGAGTGGATCCCACCACGAGTGGAAGTTTCTAATTCCAAGGGCTCAGCTCAGTCCCTCCGTGCCTTTGGAATGTGGTGCTGACATCTTTGACTGCCTTTGTTTGGCTGCACATCAGCTTGCCCCAGCAATCACCACCTCCAGGTGCTCCCAGTAGCTGCAGGTTTAGGACTAACTAGCTGGAAAAAGTGGGGAATTTTTCTGGCAAAAGACACTGAACGTGAGCAAATGGTTCAGTTGGAATTACTCAGGCAGATGCAGGTTCAATATCCTCTGCCAGCAGTTCCTGGACGCGTTGCAAATAGCACCAAATCCTGCCAAGGGGAGTTAATCTTCCCCCTGGATGTGCTGGGAAGGATGGGATTAACTCCAGAGGGGCCAGAGTGGGCTCCTGCAGGAGGCTCCAATGAAATCTCTCTTGCCTCTTCTTCCCAAACCAGGAGCTGGCTCTGAAGTCCTTGGGGAATGAGGGGCTGTTCCTCTTCTCCTCCCTGGACACCAACAAGGACCTGTACCTGAGCCCAGAGGAGTTCAAACCCATTGCTGAGAAGCTCACAGGTGGGTTCCTGTCTGCCTTCCAGAGCCTTCCCTGCACAGAGCCAAACATAATGAACCCCACAGCTTGAATTCACTGAATATTTTATTCACTTTATTGTTTCTGGGTGCTGGTCTGGGTCTTATTTACATGAAGAGAGGCTGTGAAGCTTTCCATGTTGTTGGAAAGGCTTAAGCACCAGACATCACTTTGACAAAGTGCAGTTTTTACAAGGTGGAGGATCCCGTTGCTGGACTAGCAAAGTACATAAGTTACTTTGTGTGGAGCTTAAAGGGGATTTGGGATGGGTGAGTGCAACAAATCCAGCTCAGCCCAGGCTGGGCCAAAGGCATCAGTGGAGTCACAGGGCTCCATTGAGCTGGGGCAGCTCTCCTGGATGGCAGCTGTGGCAGATCATCTCTGGGGCTGTGTCAGCACAGAGCAAGTGGCCCTGCTGGTGCCAGCCAGGGAGGAGTGTGGGGATGACAATGGACAGTGGGGACACAGTCAGGCTTTGCTGTGCTCTCCTGGACTGGCTCCAGCACGTGCTGGGATTGCTCCGAGGGGCTGTGAGCCTGCCTGGGCTTTGCAGCCAGGGAAACAGGGAGTCATGGAATGGTTTGGGATGGGAGGGACCTTAAAGCCCATCCAGTGCCACCCCTGCCTTGGGCAGGGCACTTCCACTGTCCCAGGCTGCTCCAAGCTCAATCAGCCTGGTCCTGGACACTTCCAGGGATCCAGGGGCAGCCACAGCTTCTCTGGGCACCTGTGCCAGGGCCTGCCCACCCTCACAGGAAACAATTCCTTCCCAATGTCCAACTTAAACCCACCCCTTCCACTTTAAAACCACTGAGTTTGTCCCCTTCCTCTTCAGTTTGTGCAGCCAAAGCTGGTCTGGGGATGGTTCTGTGTGGGGACAGCTGGGGGACTCCCAGTGCTCCTGGATTTACCAGGATAAACGTGTGATCACTTCACAATTGCTTCAGAGGGAGGAGAAACAGCTGCTTGAATTGCTGTCCTTTTGTCCAGGGGTTGCTCCAGCCTCAGAATCTGAAGAGGAGGAGACGCTGGATCCAGACGGGGAGACTTTGTCCATCGTGGCCAAATTCCAGCCCTTGCTCATGGAAACAATGACGAAGAGCAAGGATGGTTTCTTGGGAGTAGGTGTCCTGCAGGCCGCAGATTCTGGGATAAACACCTCTGGGGGGCTGGGAACAGCACCAGGAATAGGCTGGGAGGGGACAGGGTCCTGCTGAATCCCGTGGGATTTGCTGTGACAGGAGCTTGCTGCCCCCTCAGCGTTTCAGCACACTCAGCAGTGCCCTGCCCCAGTTAGAACAGCCTTCCTGGGGAGCTGGGAGCAGCAACCAGAGCTGGCTCTGCTCAGCTGAGTGCAGCAGCACTGGTGTTATGTGGCATGTTCCCCTCTGCTCCGCTGCTCACATTCCTGAAGGCTGACAAAACTGTTGGGTGGGGTAAGAAGAATTTGGGATGTGAAACATTTCCCCCCCTTTTCCAAAGCCTCCCTGCATCCGTGACATCACTGCACACTGGGAGACTCCACTGTGGGCTCTGACAGCATCTTTTGTTCACAGATTTCCCACGTGGCTCTGTCTGGGCTCAGGAACTGGACAGCCCCAGCAGCCCCTATGAGTGTCCTGCTTGCCAGGCAGTTCAAAGCCTTTCTCCCTCCAAAGGATAATCTGGATCTTGGGGATCCGTGGTGGATAATTCCCAGTGAACTGAACATCTTCACTGGCTATCTCTCCAACAACAGGTTTTACCCTCCACCTCCCAAGGGCAAAGAGGTGAGATATGAAACTCAGATTTTACATGTGTATCCCTGGATTTTCCAGGGAAGCAGGAATTCTGTGGTGTGTAGCCAGGAGCACCTAAACTGGAGGCAAAACTGAGAGCAGGCAAAAGCTCTGTGTGTCTGTGACAGCCACATGAGGCTGACTCGAGTAACTCCATCTTGTTTGTTAATTGTGTGGGATTTGAGGGTAGTTTTTCCCAGAGAGGGTTGCTCAGAAAGGACCTGTGGGATCATTCCTGGTGGAACAGTGAGCCTTTAGGTGCCAGGTGGGACTCTGTGTGTGCTCAGCAGGTAAAGCCTGGCTGTGCATCCCCTCCCCTGGGTGCAGGCTGGGATCAGTGGTTGCACTCCCACCCCTTCAAAGGCTGAAGCATTAGTGGAGGCAGCCTTGCACATCAGTTTGCTGTTCTGCCTGGGCTGATGGAAAGCTGCAGACCACGGGAATGGCACAGAAGCCGTGGAAGATGGATTTATTTGTGACAGCAGTGCCTTGCTTTGTCTCCTTGGCGTGTGATTAGGTCAGTCTCTGAGCTGGCTGTTAAATCACAGCCATTCTCTGGCCTTCCTGCTCAGGTGGGGGTTGCTTTGGAGCTGTGTGGAGGAGCAGTTCTCATTCCTGCTCCTGCCATTCCCCCTCCAGGTGATCATCCACAAGCTGCTGAGCATGTTCCACCCGCGGCCCTTCGTCAAGACGCGCTTCGCCCCGCAGGGAGCCGTGGCCTGCATCCAGGCCAGCAGCAGCTTCTACTACACCATAGCCTTCCGGTGAGCTCCAGGGGCTGGGGACACCCCTGGGCCTGTCCCCTGTCCCAGGAGGGCAGGAGGCTGCTGGGAGCCCTGGCAGAGGGCACAGCAGGCATGGCATGTGCAGCGTGTTCCCAAGGGACAGCGGGTGCTGTGGCTGGGAGGGGGAGGGAGGTGCAAGCCAAAGGTCACCTGTGCTGCCAGTGTCACTGTGTCCTCCTGCAGGACATCACCCTTGGACTTGATGCCAGTGTCACTGTGTCCTCCTGCAGGACATCACCCTTGTTCTACCCCTGGCTGAAAGGGGAGAATCTGGCTGGCAAGACTTTTGTTAGATTCAGGTTTATCAGAGTGTCTTTCCAAGCGGAGAGAGTCCACAGAATTGTTTTGCTGGTCGTGTTACACACAGCTTTGATGTGTCTGAGCAAGCTGGAGGGAGGGCTAAAGGGGCCTTGTTCTGTCCCTGTGTTTCAAGGAATGATAAAGGATTTCAAGGAATGATAAAGTATTTCATCCTTCCTGGCTGTCCAGTTCCAGAAGGCATGGATGCTGGAGATGCTCCTGATGCATCTGTTCCAGTCTTTCACCCTCTTCACTGTGTGACATGAGAAGCTTTTTAAGCTCCACCTCTCTTGCCCAGTTTAGGTTCCTAGTTTCAGGTGCCTGGAGACAGCTTTTCCCTGCTGTCACCTGCAGTGCAGGATCCCAGCTGATGGCTCCTCTCTCTTTCAGGATCCACGCTGAATTCCAGCTGAACGAGCCACCAGACTTCCCCTTCTGGTTTTCCCCGGGGCAGTTCACAGGTTACATTGTCCTGTCCAAGGACTCTTCCCACGTCAGGGACTTCAGGCTCTTTGTTCCTAACAACAGGTACAGCTGTTTCCCTCTCATTTCTTGGAAAATCTCAGTGATTTAAGCTCTGCAGTTGCCTGTAAATGCATTTATACATCACTGAGGATCCCTGAGCCGTGCAGGGCCTGATTCATGCCCAGTAACTGTCCCTTGGGGCTGGGAGGATGGGAGGGACAGGCAGGGTGTGGCAGGACTGGCAGTCCCAGTTCCTGGCTGCAGGCACTGAAGTTCAGCAAGGCCTGGTGCTCCTCCTCCAACAGATTTTTTGCTTGGAGTCTCACAGGTTAAGGTTTTGTGTGCAGAGCTTTGCACCAGCTCGTTCCTGCTCTCTGGCAAGGAGCTGGAAGTGTTTCAGGGGGAAGAGGCTTCAAATCTCTTTGCCCATGACAAGAGTGAAAATTCTATTACAACGTTACCCTGGCGACTCAACCCCAGTGCCTCTGTCAGCACATTTCCTACAGCCAGCAGACACTTTGGGCTCTGCCAGCAGCCTTTTGCTTCCAAAAAAACACTTTTAAAAGTTCAGCAGGATCAGAATGTGCGAGTGAAGTGCTGGGAAGGAAGAGGGAGCAAAGACATCTCTCTTTCCTGTCATTTGACAGAGCTCAGAGGTGTTGAGTGTGTTTTCCAGAGTGCTGAGTGGGTGCTGGCCCTGGTCCAGCAGGATCTGGTGTTCCTGGGCTGCTGCAGGGAGCACAGAGATCTCCAGAGGCTCTGGGTCAGTGCTGACCCTGCAGAGGATGTTCCCATCTGGTTGGGGTTTCCTGTGCACAGCTTTAGCCCTGGGTGACTCGTGGGTTCCCCGTGCAGGTCCCTGAACGTGGACATGGAGTGGCTGTATGGGGCCAGTGAGAGCAGCAACATGGAAGTGGACATTGGATACCTGCCTCAGGTCTGTGCCCCCTCCCTGTGCTCCACACCTGTCCAGCTTCTCCTCAGGGGTTTGTGCTGCCACAGCCCTGAGCTGTGGAACCCCTGTGACCCCATTCCTTACAGCTTTCCCTTGATCATTTCAGTACAACAGTAGAATTTCCATTTATCTCTGTCTGTCCTCTGCAGCCCCATTGGCAGCTGTTCTGATATTTTGCTTTTTCCCTCAGTGTGGGTTGAATCCTGAGCTTTTGGAGACTTCTTCCTTTTTTAAAACATTGCCTGACAGGCAGGAGGGAAGGTGAGGAGCTGAACCCAGGCCCTGAGCCCAGAGCAGGGTATGAATAACTGTGGGTCTGGATTTAGAAAGTGCACGAGGTTGTTCCCCTTTTTTTTGTGGTAATCCCAGCTCTTGGGACAGGAAACATAAGTCAGAATTCTGAATGCCTGAATTCAACAGGCCCATGTTCTCCTAAACTAGAGTCGTGATTATTTTTAATTGGCAGAAGTCAGGAAGGCAGATTTAGCAGAATCATTTCAGCTGTTCCAGCACACAAACCACGGGGAAGCTCCTGGGCAGCTTTTCCTGCTGCTCCCTCTCGTGGCTTCCCAGGGCTGAGCTGCTGACAGGAGCAAGAGCTTCCAGTGAGCCCTGCAGATCCTAATGGCTGAAAGGATCTGGTGTCCCACAGCCAGTAATCTCCTCTGGGAAGGTGGGAACGTGGAGTCTGTGCATTTCCAGTCCAGAGAGTGCAGCCACACTGAGGGAAATGAAGTTCCTCTCCTGGTATTTCACTGGTGAAGTGCAGCTCCAGGAGGTGGGAGACCTTCCTGAGGAGCTGCAGGGTGTTATTTTGGATCTGTATCCTGTCCTGGAGCCCAGGAGAACCAGCAGAGAGCTGAGTGCAGGGTCCAACCCAGGCTGTTCCCCTGCAGATGGAGCTGGAATCCACAGGGCCCTCGGTGCCCACCGTGATCCACGATGAGAACGGGAAGGTCCTGGACAGCAGGGACCCCTCAGGGGAGCCCATCCAGTTTGTGTTTGAGGAGATCACCTGGCAGCAGGAGATCCCCTGGCAGGAGGCAGCCCACAGGCTGGAGGTGGCCATGTATCCATTTAAGAAGGTGAGGAAGGGGTTGGGCTCTCCTTGGCACATTGATTTGGGGCAGATTGTCCTCACTGAGCCATCCAGTGACCTGGAGGGCCAGCAGAGGCCACAGCCTGAGCAGCATCCAGGGCACTGGGAGAGTGTCCCAGAGCGTTTGGGATCACACAGCAGCAGAGACAGGAGCAAATTCTCCATGTCAGGTGTCCCCAGGATTGTACTGTGGGTGTAGCTCGTCCTTCCTGCCTCTTATCAATAGCTGCTGCTGTGATTTTGGAGCAGGCAGGTAATTGTGCTGCTTACAAATGGGTTTTTCCTCTGGCTTCACTTCCACAGCAGCCAGGTGCCTCTGGACCAAGCTTTCCTTATCAGCAGAGAGCACATGATCTGCCTGTGCCTCTGCAGCCTGCAGCCAGACACAGATTTATAGCTCTGGGTGAACTATTTAACATGCCAGCAGCCTGTGGAGCAGATGGCTACTGCCTGTCACTGCTTCCTTGGCTGAAGGGACACGTTTTGGTGGCTGCCTCCTTGTGCCTGAGTTTACAAATGTCCCTTCAGGCTGCCAAGATGTTAATATCAGTTCCTTTCATTTGAGTGATTGGAGCAGGCTCCCTCACAGCCAGTTCTCAGGCTGTTTCAGGAGGTTTTGTAATAAATACCTCAAGGCCAGATTTCCCAGCAGCTGAGGGTTGCAGACAGCCTGGCCACCCTGGTGCAGATGTTCTCTGCAGTGTGTGAGATCAGGGCTCTGCAGGTGCCAGGGACAGAGGGGCCCTGGGGACACCACCACAGTTGTCACTCATGTAAATCTGCACATCCTGCTGCAGACTGAGCTCTGTGTGTGTCACCCCTGGGTCTGGTTCCTTCAGAGCTGCTCCTGCTGTGTGCCTGTTCCTCACGCTGTCCCTCTGCCCCCAGATCTCCTACCTGCCCTTCACAGAAGCCTTTGAGAGAGCACAAGCAGAGAAGAAGCTGGTGCACTCCATCCTGCTCTGGGGTGCCCTGGATGACCAGTCCTGCTGAGGTGAGGGCATTCCCACCTGCCTGGAGGGATGGGGGGCAGGGAACCTCGTGCCATTTGTTTTGGCTCTGGAGGTGCTGGATAGACAAAGGCTAGGAGTGGGGAATCACTGATGGGAGTGGGGAATCACTGATGGGAGTGGGAATCACTGATGGGAGTGGGAATCACTGATGGGTGTGGGAATCACTGATGGGAGAGGGAATCACTGATGGGAGTGGGAATCACTGATGGGAGCTGGGAGTGGGAATCACTGATGGGAGTGGGAATCACTGATGGGTGTGGGAATCACTGATGGGAGAGGGAATCACTGATGGGAGTGGGAATCACTGATGGGAGTGGGAATCACTGATGGGAGAGGGAGTCACTGATGGGAGTGGGAATCACTGATGGGAGCTGGGAGTGGGAATCACTGATGGGAGTGGGGAATCACTGATGGGAGTGGGAATCACTGATGGGAGCTCAGCTGCCCAGTGCAGCACCAGCTCTGTCTGAGGTTGTGATTCAGGTGCCTTTGTTGAGGTGCAGACATGGCTGTGGTCTTTCCCCTTCCTCTCCTGCTGGGGAAGAGGCAGCATTGGCAGGGAAAAGGGACACTGCTCTGTCTGCCTTGTCCCTGGCACCTGCACAGGAGAGGCCAGAGCCAGGCCTGGCCGTGGGGCTGTCCCAATGTGCAGCTTTTCCCCCTCAGTGCCTCAGAGCCTCTGTGCCACGTTGGGCAGGAGGGATGGGTGGGAGGGGAAGGGTCTCTTCAGTCCTGTCTGCCCTGAAAACCCCTCAGCACTGGGCTGTGCTTGGCATCAGCAGCAAGTGGCACTTGGGGTGGCTTCCATGGCTGACTTCTCCTGGACCTTCTGTGCCTGGCTTGGGCTCTGCTCTGCTGAGTGCTTTGTGCCAGCAGCACCTGTGGGGAGCAAAAGCCATGGAAAACTGCCAACAACAGAGCAGAAAGACACTGGGGAGGGCTGGGGGGACCAGAGTCAGCTGCCACTCAGCAGGTGGCATGGAGCATGGTGACAGTGACTGAGGAACCCACAGCAAAGCCTCCTGTGCCTCTCCCTGTGCCAGGTTCGGGGCGAACTCTCCGGGAGACCGTCCTGGAAAGTTCGCCCATCCTCGCCCTGCTGAACGAGAGCTTCATCAGCAGCTGGTCCCTGGTGAAGGAGCTGGAGGAGCTGCAGGTGAGGCTCACTCTCTGCTGGGGGTGCCACGGGGTGCCAGGGGCAGGGAGAGCTCCCTCCTGTGCCAGGGGGGATTTTTGTTCCGAGCCCTCCCTGTCCTCGGCAGCTGCAGGGGCCAGGCAGACACCAGATGGAGGCAGGCTGAGAAGTGGCACTGTGACCCCCTTGGCTCTGTCCTGGTGCCAGGTTTAAAGCTAAAACAGATGATTCTCTGTGAGACAGCCCTGCCCAAGGCCTCTGCTGCCATCAACCAACTGACTCCCCTGCAACCCAGGGGACGACCAGATAACCAAATGACTGTCTGAACCCTGAGGCTCCTGACTGAGCCTTTCCCCACTTCTGAGCTGTGCTGTCAGCTGGGATCAGTCACAGAGCTGGAGACTCTGGGAAGGGCTGGGATCAGACTTTGGTGTGCCTGTGATGGGGTGATTTTCTTGTCTTGGGGGAGAAAATTTGCAGCTGAAATGAGAGAGGGAGCCTGAAAGGGAATGGGAAAGCAGCCTGTGAGAATGGTACCAGTTACCATTGCACTGCAGAGCAGCTCTCTGCTCCCTCCCTCCCTCCCTCTCTTCTGTGTCCTGTGGGCTCCCCCTGTGCCATTTTGCCACTTCTGGGGTGTGCCAGTGTGTGGTTTTGGTATCTCCCTGCAGAGCAACAGAGAGAATGAGTTCTACAGCAAACTAGCCAAGCTGCACCTGGAGAAATACAACTTCCCTGTGGAGATGATCCTCTGCCTCCCCAACGGCACGGTGGTAAGGCTGGGCTCCTCCCATGGAGTCTGTTCTCTGCAGGGTCCCCAGACCTGGGACTGCTCCTGAGCCTTTGTCCCTCCACCTAGAAATCTGGAACAAATGTATTTTAGTTCAGAGACAGAACAGCAGCAGCTCTGGGCAGGGGCAGAACAGACTTGAACCAAGTGTGATTCCTCACTGTCCCTGAGCTTTGGGAAGGCACTGTAGCTTTGTTTCCTGCACCCATGGCCCTTTGTGCTCATCCTTTGAAGAAAATCTCCTGATCAGCACCTTCCAGCACATTGATCTCCCCAGACTGGTCACAGCAGATCAGCCATTAGTGAGCCCACACTCTCTGTCTCTGCAGGGCTGGGCTAATCCTGCCCAGACACCAGCTGGTCACAGCTGCAGGGTCCCCTCGCTGTCCCCATGAGGCTCTGGGCTGTGACAATGGCTCAGTGTCCCCCTTTCCCAGCTCTGTGGGGCAGCAGGCAGTGCTGGGAGCTCAGGTGCACCCCAGGCTCCATCTCCCCAGCTCCTGCTCACAGACGTGAGCTGGGCCTCCATGGTTTTTCCCACATCATCTTCTTCTTAACCTAAGCAAAGGGTCAGCACCCTTGGGGGAAGATCACACATTTTTCTCTGACTCTGAAATTCAGACCCAAATTCTGGTTCCTGAATTAGCACTTGAAAAGAATTAGATATTCTTGTAGGAGCTGTTACAGCCTTGTCAGGTCTGTGCTGGCTGCAGGCCAAGGCAGGGGATGGGCAATTCTTCTGACCCTTAGAAGTCTCCTCTCATCTGTTTTCTTTGCCAGATTCACCACATCAATGCCAACTATTTCCTGGACATTACTTCTATGAAGCCTGAAGATGTTGAAAGCAGCATCTTTAGTTTCTCAACCAATTTTGAAGACCCTTCAACAGCAACTTACCTCCAGTTCCTGAAGGAAGGGCTGCACAGAGCAAAACCATACCTGCAGCCCTAAAGCCAGGCACCTGAATGCCCCACTGAGATGGCCAAAGACTTCAGAGATCTATTTTGGTTACAGCAAATCCTCCTCATCCCCGTGCCAGACGTTGGTGTTGAACTGCAGGCAGTGCCAGGCTGGTGCTGTGCTCTGGATCTTGGTTTGAGCCTGAGTTCCTGCTCAGTTCAGGCACATTTCCACAGGAGTGCAAATACTTGAATCCATTTCCAGGGCACCTGCCTGGCTGTGCCACCCACCCTCATTTCTTTGCAGCTCCTGTTAAGCCTGGTGGAACTGGTGCACCCCAGAAGTGCTGATCTCCAGGACTTGCTGAGTGCAGGGAGCAGCACTGCCATTGTGACCAAACACTCGTGCTGAGGACAGAGCCACAGCCCTGGGCAGCTCCCTGCTCCCCTCGGGGCCAGCCTGGTGTCCTGGGCAGCTCTGGACACTGACAGTGACAATCTGTGTGACAGGACTGTGGCAGCCCTGAGCAGCCCCCAGCGCCCTGTGTGACCTGGTGGCCTTGCTCAGGCAGGGTCTGTGCCCCAAGGGTGGCACAGGGACGCCAGAGTGGGCACCAGGGCATCAGAGGGGTCAGGTGAGGATCAGTTTGAGCCCCCAGGAGCTCCCCCAGTGACCCCAGGCTAAAGGACACAGCAGTGAGCAGTGTCCCATCCATCCATCCCTCCCAGGGCTCCCTCCCCAGCAGCTCTGGGAGCTTCTCCCTGGTGCTCTGTCCCTCTTTGCTTTGAGCTTCCAGGTTGTGCTGGGTGAGGAACCATGAAGTTCCCTCTGGGAACTGCCCTGAGATCCTCACCTAGGTGAGGACTGGGCAGATCTAAAAGCCAGAAGTACAAAAACATTTTTTCAGCATTTTTTTCCAAAGAGATTGTTCAGACATGAAGCCATTATCCCTTACCTGAAGCCACCCTGAGCAGTTGCTCCTACTCTGTGCCAATGTCTGGATACAGAATGAGCATCATTTTGTAATTTGGAGAAGGAAGGGTTAAGTGAAACGGGTTTTAAGGCATATTCCCACAGACATGTGAGGGGACAAAGCATCCTCAGCAGCCAGCCCTGGCTGGTGATGCTTTTTCTGCTCTCTGAAGCACAATTTTGTTGGACCAAACCAAATTAAGGGAAAAGCCTTTTTTTCTTTTTTTTTTTTTTTTTTTTTTTTTTTTTTTTATTTTTCCTGACGGGGTTTTTTTTTTAATTTTCCTGACGAGGTATTTTCAGTCCTGGGAGGAGCCTGGTGGTGGCAATTACCCTGTCCCCTCCCTGCCCCAGCCCTCCTGTCCATACCTGAGCCTGGGGACTGAGCTTAGCTGCACCTCTGGGCTGGACCAGTGTCACTTCACTAAGTGCTCTAGTGAGGTTAATTACTGACCCGGGATGATTCTCAGTGTTGGCTTTGTAACTATGCATTAGCTCTGCACTTTGTCACACCCCAGTGGGACAGGCTGGGCTCTGGCAGCACTGCAGAGTTCCTTCAGCCCCTGGGGAGCCCTGCAGAGTTCTGTCAGCCCCTGGGGAGCACTGCAGAGTTTTGTCAGCCCTTGGGGAGCCCTGCAGAGTTCTCTCAGCCCCTGGGGAGCCCTGCAGAGTTCTGTCAGCCCTTGGGGAGCACTGCAGAGTTCTGTCAGCCCTTGTGGCGCTTCCATCCCTGCAGGGCTCCAGCCTTTGGGTTCCCACTGTGTCTCTGTTTATTCTCTCATGAGCTCCCCGCAGCCCCTTGGAGCTCTCTCGGGATGAGCCCGGACAGTGGCAGAGGAGCCCAAAACCACCCCCGAGCAGGAGCAGCCTGGGGCATCCCGAGGGGACCCGTCCGCGTCCCTCTCCCCTGCCGGGCGTTCTCCCCGTTCCCTCTGTCGTTGTCCCCGTTCCCTCTGTCGGTGTCCGGTGAGCGGCTGCCGCTGCCGTCCCTCCCGTGCCTGGTGACGCCCTGGCCCGAAACCCGCGGCGGGCCCGGGCCGATGTCGGCCGGGAGGGGCGGCGGAGCGGCCCCGGTAAAACCATCCGTGCATCCTCAGCTCGGCCTCGCTCTCCTTCCTGCGCCGGGGCTGGGGGCGAGCGGGGCGCGCCCGGGGTGTCCCCAGTGTCCCCCTGCACCGGGGTGTTCCCTTGCACCGCGGTGTCCCCAATATTCCCCCCTCCACCGGGGTGTCCCCAATGTCCCCCTTTACACCGGGGTGTGCTCAGTGTCCCTTTACACCGCGATGTCCCCCTGCACTGGGGTGTCCCCCTTTACACCGGGGTGTCCCCAGTGTCCCCCTGCACCGGGGTGGTGTCCCCCTGCGCCGGGATGTCCCCAGTGTCCCTTTACACCGCGATGTCCACCTGCACCGGGATGTGCCCCTGCACCGGGGTGTCCCCTTTTACACCGAGGTGTCCCCCGTGTCGCCCCTGCACCGGGGTGTCCCCAATGTCCCTTGGCACCCGGGTGTCCCCAAAGTCCCCTTGCTCTGGGGTGTCCCTGGATGTCCCCATGTACCCCGGTGTCCCCAGTCTCCCCCTGCACAGGGGTGTCCCCAATGGCCCTTTACACCGCGGTGTCCCTAATGTCCCCCTGCACCGGGGTGTCGCCGCTGTCCCCATGCTGTCCCTGTCCCCGCTGTCCCCGTCCCCGCTGTCCCTGTCCCCGCGGTCCCCGTCCCCGCTGTCCCGGCCCGGCGCAGGCGCTGCGCCCCGGAAGGCGCGGGGCGGGTTCTGGTTCTGGTTCCGGGCGATGGCGGCGGAGCGGCCGCGGCCGGCGCTGGGAGCGGGCCCGGGCAGGTAGCGGGGCCGGGCCGGGGAGTCGGACCGGGCCGGGCCGGGCCGTGCTGAGCCCTCGTTGTGTGTTGCAGTGAGCGAGCGGAGCGGGTGCGATGAGCGGCCGGCGCTGAGCCAGCGGAGATGGACGCGGAGGCCGTGAGTGACACGGGCCGGGACACCGGGCCCTGCCCGGACCCTGCCCCGGACACTGCCCCGACACTGCCCCGACACTGCCCGGACACTGCCCGGACCCTGCCCCGACACTGCCCGGCACTTCCCCCGGCAGCTCCTCCGAGCCCCGGGAGCTGCCCCAGAACCTTCCCCCGGCGCCTTTCCCTGGCAGCAGCTCCCGGGCACTGCCCCAGCCCCTGTCCCCAGGCAGAGATCTGTCCCCAGAGAGAGAAAGATCTGTCCCCTCCCTGCCCCTGGCAGAGCTCTGTCCCCTTCCTGCCTCTGTCCCCAAGCAGAGCTCTGTCCCCAGAGAGAGAAAGATCTGTCCCCTCCCTGCCCCTGGCAGAGCTCTGTCCCCTTCCTGCCTCTGTCCCCAAGCAGAGCTCTGTCCCCAGAGAGAGAAAGATCTGTCCCCTCCCTGCCCCAGGCAGAGCTCTGTCCCCTCCCTGCCCAGCCCAGAGGTTCATTCTGAAGGGCCCATCAGGAATTTCAGGTGTCAGCAGTGAGCAGGGCTCAGGCACAGAGTGCAGGACGAGCTGCAGCAGTAAATCGATTGCTGGGGTGCTGTGGGCTGAGCTTTGTCACTGTGCTGCTCTCCGTGCCTTGCGCTCTTCCTGCCGCAGGAGCTCTCCTGGGCAGGGCACGTCACCCTTTGGGCCCAGCTCAGAAGTGTCCTGAGAGTCTAAACCAGCTGCTGTTTCTGGGAACACTCTCCAGGGCTGCTCCCTGTGGCCCTGGGCTGGGACAGGCTCTGGATAGAATTGTCACTTGCTGTCACCCAAGCAATGCTCAGCTCATCCCAGGTCAGCTGGGAGCGCTGGAGGTGGTTCCTCAGCAGCATGTGCAGTGAGTGTCTCCAGGGAAGGGAAGGAGGCTCACAGCTGCCCCGGGGTATTTCACAATGTCAGTGCTAAAGGTGGTGTGAAAGCAGGAGTGTCCCTTGAGTGACACTTTCTTTTGGTGTCATTTTCCTCCTGGGCCCTTGTTGTGTGGCTGTTTTCCTCCCTTGGCCAGTTTTCCTTTGTGAAAATGCCTGTTGACAGTGCCTGGTACCGAGTGCTTTCAGTTTTCAGTCTAACACCCATGTCCAAAATGCCCCTGCACCTGCCTGGCTGTCACCAGCTCAGCTGAACACAGTTCTGTGAGATGGGGACCTCAGTTATCACCAGTTCTCAGTTACAAGTGAAGAGATAAAAAGTCAGGAATCAGACTGACAGTTGAGGAGAATTTCCAGCTGAATGAATTTCAGAAGGGCCCTGCCTGGAGGTGCTGACTGTGTGCTGTGGTCCCTGCAGACCATCCCCATCTGGCAGAACAAGCCCCATGGCTCAGCCCGCAGCGTGGTCAGGATGATCGGCTCCAACCTCCCCCTGAAGCCCTGTCCCAGGGCCACCTTCGAGGTGAGTGACCCCTGCCCTGGGGGAGCTGGGGCAGTTCCAGGCACTGCCATCAGCTGCTGTTTTGTCCCTACACATCTGCAGAGTTGTAGCCACAAAACCTGCACCAGTACAGTGAAGTTTAAGAATTATTTTTTTTAATTTTTTTTTCTTTAATTCTATTTTTGTAAATTGATCACTGGCAGCTCGAGGAAATCCCTGCCCAGGCAGTGTCTGAGCTGAGGGAGATGGAAAGGTGGAGCTGCTGCCCCAGGGTTTTGCTGTGTGACCTCCAAGGGACCTGGTGCCCTCTGGGCCTGTTCCCAGGATTGTGGAGTCCCTGATGTCACCCTTGGAGCTCAGGGCTGGCACTTGGCATGGCACAGGGTGGCACGTGGCCTTGGCAGCCTGGCCTGCATCAGGTGTCCCCTCCTGCCTCACTCACACAGCAGGAAGGAGCAGGAGCTGGCCCAGGGAAGCACAAAGGATTCATCTCCCAGCTCCAAAAACTTGAATAATTGTGCAAACAAAAGGAAACCTGCTGGAATTGATGTTGTGCCTGTGCCAGCCACAGCTGCTCACAGCACAGGGGCTCTGACAGCACAGCTGGGGCAGCTCCAGGAGAGCAAAGCCTGTCTCTCAGCAGCATTTCCTTCCTGCCAGGTGCTGCCCAGTGTCTCAGATCTGTATCTGGGTGAGGTGCCCCCCGTGCCCACCCTGGCTGACATCGTGTGGATCGCAGCGGACGACGAGGAGACCTACGCCAGGGTCAGGTTGGTTTTCCTCTGCTGCTCTCTGGCACAGAGCTCAGGCCAGGCTCTGCTCAGCTGACCACAACTTCCAGTCCCCTCAGGGTCTGGCGTGGTGCCTCTTGAAAGACATTTTTCCCCACAGAGGGGGGAAAAAAAAAGACAAAGTACCCGGAGAGGAATTCCTGTAGGAGGTGCCAGGAGCCTGTGCCATGTCCTGTGTCACTCCCTGGTCTGTGCACAGGAGCCCCTGCTCCAGGGTGGTTTTTGGCCAGGAAGTGGAAGGGTTGAGTTCTCCCAGGACTGAAATGCCCTGTCCAGCCTGGCCTTGGACACTTCCAGGGATCCAGGGGCAGCTGCAGGGAGCACCTCTGATGGTACACAGAGGCTTCATTTGTTTTGAGGCTCTGCTGCCCTCAGGGGAGGCCAGGCTTTGTCATGGACAGGTTTGGACTTGGGGACTGACAGGTTTTTGTCCCCAGAAGTGACACTCGCCCGCTGAAGCACAAGTGGAAGCCGAGTCCCTTCACGGTGATCCAGAGAAACGCCTCAGTGCCCAACCTGAGGAAGCAGGAGGAGAAGCTGCTGGCCCTGAAGAAGCCTGGCTTGCCAGCCCTGAGCCGCACCACGGAGCTCCAGGACGAGCTGAGCCACCTGCGGAGCCAGATCGCCAAGATCGTGGCTGCAGACTCAGGTGGGCTCACTTCCTGCTGGGGCTGAGCTCTGCCCCCTCCGGGCTCGCTCAGGGTGGGGTGCTGGCTCTGGGGGCAGCTCGGGGGCCGTGGTTTTAGTTTTACATTCTGCTGTGCTGAGGAGAAGTTGTCCTGTGTGTCTTGCTGTGAGTTCATCCACCCACCTGTGGTTTTAGTTTTACACTCTGTTGTATGGAGGAGAAGCTGTCCCATGCCTTGCTGCCAGTTCATCCATCCACCTGTGTTTTTGGTTTTACATTCTTTGTGTGGAGGAAAAGCTGTCCCACGTGCCTTGCTGCCAGTTCACCCACCCACTTGTGTTTTTAGTTTTACACTCTGTGGTGCTGAAGAGAAGCTGTCCTGTGTGCCTTGCTGTGAGTTCATCCATCCACCTCTGGTTTTAGTTTTACTCTGTGGTGCTGAGGAGAAGCTGTCCCGTGCCTTGC